TGCTTTTATTGCGGGAAGAGGTCCAATACAAAATATGACGGCATCACACGCCAGTTTCTATGCCTATCATGCGATGCGACAAACTACCTCGATGAAGTATGGACCTTCTTTTGATGTTGTGACGCAGTTACTAATAAAGACTAGAATGGAGAGATTACGGATCCTCCAGTAGCCACCGAACGTGAAGCTCCCGCAACTCAATACGCTGTTCCTCGACATTCACCTCCGTCATCCCCGAAAGATAGCATCTTTTGCGCAACATGTCTGAAGAATCAGCGATTATTTACGTCATCTCTGGCGCAGTATCTACCCGACGATACGAACCACCCTGATTACCCCGAGCTCGAGCGAAACTACTACAGATTCCGAAAGGGGTTGGAGGAACGATATCCCCAAGTTTGTGACGAATGCGCTGAGAGGGTTGATGGCCAGATTCGAAGGGCGGGATATACGGCCAAGACGGATCATCTTCGACGGATGATGGAGAAGAGCAGAGGAAGGAAGATTTCGCCTGAAAAAAAGGGCGCTCTGGACTGGATTGATAGCCTAGGCAAGGGGCTCTGGTGGGGAGGATTGGTGATGCAGATACTGTGGCATCTCAGGGCAGTCACTCTTGCGTTGGAGCATCAAGATGTGGGAATGTACGATCCGGACGATAGGAGCTGGTCGACGCTGGCTGTGAAGGGCCTGGGCTTGGCTGTAGCACTTCTTCCTCCAGCGGATTCTCTCATCAACAGCGCAGTTGTTGCGAGCATATTGTCGGCATGGTGGAATCCTCAGTTCGTGCAAGTCAGCAGAGGCTTCACAAGACATCTTCTGGGCTTTACACAATGGTATGCTTTTCAGGGGCTGATCGTCTTCTTCCGCATCCTATTCCGCCGGGTGTTGGAGATGGACGGAGGACAGGCTCGATCGCGGAACGCTCAGCTTAGCGCACACTTGGTTATGTCAGTTGTTATGGTCATGGTAAGTTGTCTGAGAAATTTCACCTCCAGAACTGTACTAACATATTCAGATATATTCTGCCGCCAAACGGTCTATCAAAGTCGATACCACACCCCTTTTTGGTACCTCAAACACAACGTTTTCGCCACCGAAGCAACCTAGGATCACTCGGCAGAATAGAGAGGAACCAAAGACCTTCTCAGAACTGTTAAATGAAGCCTTAGACTCCCCTACAGCAACACCTCGGCCAGATCGGTTCAATCCGTCACCTATTAGGACATTTTCACCACAACCACTGCCCCCTGGCAACTCCTATAGGGCCCCAGGAAGCACTCGTACCCAGTTCAATGGCCTCAACATCACGCCTCGAAAGACACAGGACCTTGGATATTCGGACGAGATGGACTGGACACCGACTGAATCTCAGACTCAATCTCAGTCGCCTTATCGAGCTTTCCAAAATACGCCCTCCTCTAATGGACCCCGAAAGTCGTTCGGGGAGGCACCCGTGAGCGCCGAAACAAGCCCGTTTTGGTACAAGGTCCCTCCTGCGCCGACGAACCCATCCCAGCGTATACGAAACCCTCCCAATGCGCCAATTATCAGAACCAAGCCGGCACAGCAGGAGAGTATTTTCTTCCGAGGCGCGGCTAAGAAGAGGGACGAGAACGAAGATGACGAACGTGAAGTTTCATTCAAGCCGCCCAGTTTCTTCGCGCCCGAGCGCAGTAATGATGAGGCTAACGGGTTGGCTGACCTCTTGAGTCAGAGCTTTACTTTGGGAAAGGAGCAAAGCCACCATGATGAATATTCAGGAGGCTCCACAAACAGAAGGGGCTCAGAAACTCGTATGTCTACTGGTACACCTCAATTGGACAACCTTGGTGTTGAGTTCACCGCTCTGGCTGTGATGCTCGTTTTATGGGGTCTAACTGCAGCCGTTTCCATGCCTTTCGGACGAGAAGTCCAGCTCGCATTATTATCAGCAGTCGGGATCATTGCGTTGCGAGAAACGGGCGAAACAAGCCGACAAACAAGACTCCCTACCACAGCGACATATATCAGCTCTGCGCTGAATGTAGTCGAGCTGGCAGCGGTCTGCTGGCTTGCACTGGAGGTTTTCCAGGAGAACGAAGGCGCTGGTATGTACGGAGTTGGGCTATTGACGACAATGCTTGGGCATCAGGTTTGGAGTACTATGAATTGAGTTTTATGTATAGATAGAGGGGGCGGTTTCTGTTGCTTGGGAATATCATGTGCGGCGTTGGATGAGAAACGAAGTATTTTATGAACATGGTGGCTGGTTGGAATAAGATACCAGATGAGGCATGTCGAGATATAATGACAGTATTGACACCCAAATTTGCTTGTGTGGCACAATAACGAAGCTTGGTTGGATATGCATTTATGAGTTGTATTCTCAACACTTATTCTGTCCCTGAACTACCCCTCAAAAGGGGTCTCATAAGGCCTCTCAGCCTGTGGTGTGATGCGAGCAAGATGTCGTCGCTGACCAGATTGCCAGTCAACAATAGCAGTATGCTGAACGGATCTGTTATCCCAGACAACAACAGTCTTTTCCTGCCATCTCACCCGAGCGTGGAAGTCAGCACCCCATGCGATGTGTTCATACAAGAAGTTGAGAATCGCATCAGACTCTTCCTTCTTGAGGCCGACAATGCTTCGTGTGACTTTTGAGCGTTAGATGGTTTTTTCCAATCTTGCGTGAGGAAACTTACATTGAGGGTTGACATAGAGTGACTTCTCCCCTGTGACAGGGTGTGTTCGCACAATAGGGTGCTCATTAACAACCGGTTCACGTCTCTTGATACTCCCCTTCTTCACACTGGCATTAACCTGCTCGATTCCAGAATGCGTCGCCTTGAGTCCATGCAGCAACTTCTGAAATGTTGGCGACAACCTATTATACGCCTCAACAGTATTCGCAAAGAGAGTATCACCGCCAGTATCAGGGCTATCGAGGATATAGAGAAACGTCGTTCCAGGCGGCTGCTGCTCATACGAGACATCCGAATGCCACGCCACAGAGCTAACACGCGTCTTGAAGAACTCCTCGAACGACTTATCACCCGCGCTCCTATGTACGAGATGGATCTCCGGATGGCCCTCTGGAGAGCCCGAAGTAGGGTGAATATGATGACGGCCAAAGTAACCGCCGAACTTGAGGGCTTCGGAGATGGGGAGGTCGGCGAAGTCTTGGTTGCGGAAGGCGACGACTTTGCGCTCGGCGACGTAGCGAGCGAGTTCGTCTTTGCCGGCGTCGGAGAGACTGCTCAGTTGGACGCCTTCGATCTCAGTGCCGATTGTGGGGGTGAGGTGAGAGATCTTGGTGGTGGGTTTGAGGAGGTTGGGGAATGTTGGGTCTGCGTCTTTGCCGTGTTCGTAGTGCTCGAAGGGTTCGAGGGGAGGGTAGACTTGGTCTTTGTTCCATGTTGGGAGATAGTTTGGGTACTGAGATGTTGTTAGTATAGCGATTGTATGTAAGAGGGTGCGATATACCTTTGCGGCAGCGTGGCCGTCGATGCCTTTCTCTTCGGCTTCACGACGGTAGGCGACGGGAGATAATTCCTTGTAAACGCCCTCGACGTGGCCGGGGTAGAGCTTTACTTTCTGGGCTTCGGCTGTAGGAGCCTGAGTCTCAACAGCTGAGGGAGCCATCTTGAAGAGTTGCTATCAAATATTGTATAAGTCTTGGTACGGGATTAACGTACGTCAAACGTGTAGTTCACCTGGAACTCTACAGCCTTTATATACCACTCACTCCTCATCTGACAAATCCCATTCCCATCACATTCCCAACGCGGGGAAGTATGAATCCGCAATACAGAACTCGCCATGACGAGCAGTAATTGTCAACCATTGTCATCATCGCGCAAGCATCGCCTCTATTGCGTTGCTCAACGAGACGCGAATCAAATCACGCAACGGCCGAGAGGGACGGAGAGTGTAACATTGACATGTAGAGTAACTTGGCGATCTGTGAGTATTTATCACGGCGTTACAGCATGGTATTGCGCAATGTCGGATCTCGTAGTTGAGGCCTCGAGGGTGGTGGTGAGTTGGCGCAATTCCTGGGGATGGGTCACGCAATATGGCTATCACTTGGTGTTATCAAGACGGCGTATCGATGTCTCGGGTATCGGCAATAATTCTGTAGAAGTCCGAAATGCCTAGGGAATGATTCTTGAAGGTGTCGCGATTATATGTGGCTCAAAATTTGAGAGTTGCAGTTGTCTATGATATATCTATCGTCGGGAAATGACTATATAATAGTCTACCCCAGCAACTCGACTTCAACTATCGTACAAATGCCCCGTAACACTTCCAACTACCGAAACATGCCAAGTCCGAAGATTTCTCCAGAACAACGTCTAAACATTCTCGTTTTACCGCGTCTCGGTCGGTTCTCCCAGCGATTGGTCCCTATCGCGAGCACGTCATGCCTCTATTCTCATGAGATAGGACAAATCTCCGAACTCGACCAAGGCTAGTTCCAAAGTACCCCATCTTTCGTACTAATTGTAAGCTTAAATGTATTGACTTATCGAGCGTTGTTTATTGGTTCTTTGTTTGTGGCTAATGGTCTAAATCGAATCTCCAGGTTTAACGGGAGCTGTTGTAGCTTGATCGATTGTCCATGTTGGCCCAGAATCCCAGCGTCTTAGTTTGGCCTGGATGCCCTGGAGGCGTCGATTGACCCTGAATCGGCTGGTCATACCCAGAAAATGCACGTTCGCCGAGCCCTGAGGTGATTTTCGTAGTCCATCGCGACATTGATAACCCCCGTATCTTCTCAGAAGCATCCCAAGCGGCACGGGGGGCAAATACTTTAAAATTTTGGATCAATGTTTAAACGAATTAGACTTGGTAGGGGAACTGCCAGCCTTTATAAGTCCAGCCCTGCACCATCGAACATCATATCATTTCGACATCTCCGCGGCCATCCCTCTTACTCTCTTTCTCCGAGGACATACTTGCTCTCAGTTGCTACTAGTTCTCTCAACTGTTACTAGTGTCTTCCACTACGATCCAAAATGGCTGCTGTTGGAGACTCCAAAGGTGTCATTGGCAAGACTGACTCTGAGGATCGTCGTTTTGACAGTGGTGATGAGACTGCCAATTCCTCGCTTGAGCACCCTTTCTCGGATCCAGAGGTCGCGGATCGTTGGAGAAAAGTATATGAGAATGCACAGTATGAGAATCGACATCGGTTTGATCCAAGTTTCACTTGGACTGCTCAAGAGGAGAAGAAGCTTGTGAGAAAGGTACTTTGCTCTTCCGCAAGAGACTTACATCAAAGCCATTGTATTACCTTCTGAGGTCAGTTGACTAACCTACGTGCTCGTATCTAGATTGACTTCCGCATCTGTCTCTGGGCATGGGTCATGTTCCTTTCCCTAGACTTCCACCGACGGAATATCAACCGTGCTATTTCCGACAACATGGCAAGTTAATTCTCCGATGCATCTGGCGTGAAAACTTGACTAATAGTGTCTTCTAGTTGCCCGAAGTAGGCATGAACACTAACGATTTCAACTACGGCCAAACTGTAAGTCTACCCCTGCTCAGCTCCGCACTTCGACTGACCATTTAGATCTTCCTTGTGTCCTTCCTCTCAGCTGAACTCCCCAGTGGCTTGATTAGCAAGAAACTCGGTGCTGATAGATGGATCCCTTTCCTCATCTGCAGTTGGTCACTTGTTGCGGGATCTCAGGCTGCGCTGCATAGTAGGGGCGCTTACTTCGCTATCAAGGCTCTTCTGGGTCTTCTGATGGGTGGATTCATTCCGTATGTTGCCTACACCATGAAATGAGAACAGTTACTGACAGAGATAGTGATATTGTTCTTTGGCTTACTTACTTCTACAAGTCCAATGAACTTCCCATCAGATTGGCTTTCTTCTGGACTGCCCTGAGTACCAGCAACATTTTGGGGTCACTTCTTGCCGCTGGTATTCTCCAGATGCGAGGCGTCCTCGGTTGGGGCGGCTGGCGATGGCTGTAAGTACCAAGACTTGCCAACTTTGCAACCCTAAGCTTACATGACTCTTAGATTCCTCCTTGAAGCTATTGGCACTTTCATCATCGGTCTCTTCTCTTGGGTCCTCATGCCTCCCGGTCCCTGCCAAACAAAGAGTTGGTTCCGTGGCAAGGATGGCTGGTTCAATGAACGTGAAGAGTACATCATGGTGAACCGACTTCTTCGTGATGATCCTAGCAAGGGTGATATGAACAACAGGTACACTACCCCAAATCACCGGCTATGCTCACTGGCTAACATCATTCGCAGAGAAGCTGTCAATCTTCCCAAGCTCTGGAAAGCCGTCAAGGACTGGGAGCAGTGGCCGCTGTACATCATCGGTCTCATGGTTTACATCCCTCCCGCGCCCTTCAACACCTATCTCTCTTTCATTCTGCGCCAAATCGGCTTCTCCGTCTTCGAAGCCAATCTTCTCGCTATTCCATCTCAGTTCCTCTACGCTGTCAACCTACTCATCATCACCTGGCTCTCCGAGCGTGTCCAAGAACGAGGCATGTTGTCTTCCCTCTCCAACATCTGGATCTTCCCATGGGTTCTCGCCCTCGTCGTTCTTCCTGGCGATATCTCCCCCTGGGTTCGATACGCTCTCATCACAGGTCTTCTGAGTTACCCGTACTGCCATGCTATTCTCGTTGGATGGAACGCCAAGAACAGTAACAGTGTACGCACAAGAGCTATCAGCGCCGCTCTGTACAATATGTTCGTTCAGACTGGTAACATTGCTGCGTCTAACATCTTCCGCGAAGACGATCAGCCCCTGTACCGCCGCGGTAACAGAGTCATTCTTGGTATCACGTCTGCCAATATCGTCTTGTTTTATATCGTCAAGGCGTTTTATATCTGGAGGAACAAGGTCCGCGATGCTAGATGGAATGCTCTGACGAAGGAGCAGCAGCAGGATTACATTCTGAACACGACTGATGAGGGTCAGCAGCGTTTGGACTTTAGATTTGCTCACTAGAAAAGGCAATATTTATGTTGTCATGCGGTAGATCCCAGGAAGAGCTGTCTCTCATTGGAATGGAACTCAATAGACTGATTACATCTACTGGAGTGCACCATTATGGTGCCGCTGTTGTTTTGTCATTAGCACAGTTATACTGGTCAAGCCGTGTTGCCGTGTTGAGGCTGTAAGTGGTTCTGCATGCTTGCAATCTATTTGATATGTTTACTCGGGGACAAATTTCCTGAACATCCTCGGTACTGCTGATAACAAGCATGATAAAATTGTCAATTTCCCAACGTGATCAATCACTGAATCCCCATTTTCTATTCTCTTCTCTTCTAAATCTTAGCCTGCCTGGTCCTAAACTTAGGATAAACTATGCCTAAGCTTAGGAAACATTATAAATCTTAGTACACTATGATCATAAGTTATGCCTAAACTTAGGCTAACTTGGATCTCGAACCACAGCCCCCTCATTAGTGAGTGATCTTTGTTGGAGTAGGTATGGCGGTTCATGAATATCGCAAAACTCCTTCACTGTGAGATTAGCACCGAAGTGCCCCGCGGCTTGCTTGAATCAAGCTGCTCGGGAAAGATTGATAGCGTGTGACTCAGGGGCGATATGATCTGGGTTGATACATCGTCGCCAACTGCAACAGTGGGAGACCTGTGTTACACATGTAAGGAGGCCTTGCAGGTCGTTCCGGGTCAGATTGACTAATATGTAAAACCCTTTACGCTGCGCACGAGGCGCAGCATCCCGAAAGATCGAGAAGTTGATGTTATACATCGAAAAATAAAGCCCAGGTATTTCTCTTGTCTGCGTGCAGCATCATCTGCATCAGTTGTGTGAGGTTTGCTGACGGGAACACCTGGGAAACCCCAGAGAAACAATTCGCATTGTTAAAAACTGGTTGCATTCGAGTCAGGAATGACTCTTGTGTAGTACTGAATTTATGTAGGAACTGGGCATATGCTCGGTCTACCTTTTTGTGGCATTCTGTAGGCGAATGATTGTATGCTTCCTGAAGTAAGCGGGAAAGCTGGTTTCTGGTGCGCATTGTCCCAAAGCGCACGGGGGGGGGTAGGTAACGGTAGAGCCATTGGTAATGGGAATGCCCTACGTGATGGGAGTGCTCTGTGTGATGGGAACAGCGTTTGGCAGGGGAATGTCTTCGAGTTTTATGATATCTAAATTGTTAGCGATATAGGCTTGAGGTTGCTGATATCAGGGGTCATTCATTACCTTGGTCGTCGTCGATAATAATTGGATTGAACCATGCCCCTCTATTCATCTTGTTTGCCATCTTGACAATGCAGATGATGGCGGATGATGGAGGGGAAAAGAAAGAAAACAACAGACAGGCAAAGAGATATCCATGGCAGCAAGTCTGGGAAAGAGTGGCAGGCGGTTTCCCAGGGAAAGACCAAGCAAAGGAAGGAGGTAACATCTCCTGGATCAATTGATAAGGCACAAGGAATAAGTCAAAATAACACTACAGAGCAATAGAGGTCTTGAATAAACAGGTCACTTTATGGAAACATTATAATATGACTGGGAAAGTCTGTTCTCTTTAGGGATCTACCTTAGTACTAAGCCTGTAGTCAAGGCTCATTCTACTCATCCTTCGGAAACCTGAGGGGCCTGGCCAATTGTATCATAATCCTCCCAGCTAAGAGTGCGAGCCTCCTCGGCAGAAATAATCTGTGCCCATTGCTGCCCATTCATCACAGTAAGTGGCTTCCAAGGCTGACCCAAATGGGTCAGCTTGTCGGGGATGACTTGGATAGGTGCGAAGGACTCTGCAACTGTAATAGGCCGCTGGTGCAGAATAGCTAGTTCAGCAGAGGGCCGTTCTGGATTGGGATAACATTGCAGGGAACTGGAGTGATCAGCCTCCATACCCAAGGTACCTAAGGTAGTTAAGTCTCCTCCTGCTGAGCAACATGCAGAAAGGCATTATACCCGGAAAAGTTAAGCAGCATGTTCGTCATTGTCGGGGGTCTGGCCAATCTGATCAAAAGCGTCCCAGCCAAGCTGGCGGAGTGCATCCGCGGCAATGACCTGGGGCCATTTGCGTCCTTCGAAGATCACGGCTGGCTTCAACGGCTGACCTAGGTCAGTCAGCTTGTCCGCCACGACGCGAACCGGTAGGAATCCCTCAGGGGGCGCCAGGACTCGCTCATACTGGATGGCAAGTCCAGCAGAGTCCTCCCAGTCCTGTGACTTCATGAAGTTCGCCGTGTCTCTTGCGAGCACACGGGCGTCATTCGTGTTACTGAAGATCAACATACCGCTGATAGAGGTCACGTATGATGCCATAGCAGTCGAGTCAGGATAGGGAATCAGGAGCGGCATGTCGATCGAGAGAACAAGGGATTTGCCAATGCCCACTATGCGGGCAGAGGCTTTGACACTTTCCTCCGAAGGATGAAGAGAAGATGCCCAAACATCTGGCGACTGGTGCAAAGGACTCTGCAGGTTTAATCGGCCGCTGGTACTGAATAGTTAGGCCAGAAGTAGGCTGCCAGCCATGGCCTCTCATAGTAGATACTGTCTCTTTGGCAAATTGTCGCGTATCTGCCTCGTTGCCAAGGAGGCCGATGTCAGCAATGGAACTGACCTATGATGCAATTGCAGTTGAGTCGGGGTTAGGAATGCAACGCGGCATGTCGATAGACATGACAAAGGACTTGTGGACGCCCGCCAAGCGGGCAACGGCAGAAAGGGGCAGCGATGGGCTTATTTTCTTTCGGGGGGAAAGAAGGAGGGCACAGAATGTCTGGGCAGCTCTGTCTTCTAAGAAAACCATGGTTTCATCAGCAACAACCAGTGAAATAATAGCCTTACGGCTATTTCCAGTAGTGATCAACGATGAAGGGTGTGGCCGGCCAAGGTCTGGCGGTAACCTTGGTTTCCTCCCGAGCCGGGACCAGTGTCTTTATCGAACATGGTAAGGATTTCGTCATCAGAGTTGGGTTCGGTTTCAGTCTCCTGTCTCTTTCGGGTAGATGGAGATTGGGTAAGGTCAATCGGAATCTGGCTTGTCGTTAAACCGGGAGTTTCGAGCACTTCCACCAGAGCTATAGGCCGCGCGAATCGCAGACCCAAGCTGGGGGGACTCCGATTCACCAGCATGCTCTGCTACGATTATGTTAGGCTGGCAGTTAGTCCTTTGATATCCCCCATGGATGTGATGATAGACGCGGAATGACCAGAAGGGCGAGGTGTTGTAGTCGGTGCATTTAGTGCCCTCCAGGAGGTCTTCATCCGAGTCATGATCGGCTACCCTTCGCTTTACCATCGCCTCATCAGCAACAACGACAAGATATTAGATGTCCTTGCGACCATTACCGCATGGAATTGAGTCAGAAACGATGAATGGCCCCGCAGGGAAAGGTCGTGAAGTTGTTGGAATGCCATCTTGTGTCTGACCCTCAGGTTCCTCAAATTGAACTAGATCTTCATCCGAGTCTAGATCGATGACCTGAGGAGCCTTTCGCTTCTGGGCAGACGGTGACCCGGCGGTTAGGTCGATAGGAATCGGCGTGTCATCGAATCTGGGTGCGCCTCTGGCACTTCCGCTGCCACTTCCGCTGCGGCCAACGTGGGCAGCTCGAAGAACGGAGTCGATTGAGCTAGGCGCGAGTTCCGGGGATTGCTCGCCTACGATCATGTCTAGGCCTGTAGTCAGTCCTTTAGTTCCACCCATCGTTGTCAGGATGGAGTTTGCTTTCTGGCGCAACTCCGGGGTGACTGTCAAGAAGATTCTTGACAACCTCAGCCAAGACAAGCGCATTTTCGGCCGCGCCAATGGCATTCCGGGAACTTTGCCCTGCCTTTGCCTCTATATTTCCCTCGTAGTCTGCGAATACGCCCTCAGCAGGAGCCAACTGGCCACTTGAGTTGCGTGGGGCACGTCGTGAAGGTGCCATCTCTTCTGAGATTACTTCATGGCGAGGTTTGGTTTTCAGTTGACGTCGCTTGACGCTGAGGTGTGTGGGGGAAAATAATGTTAGGATCAGTATTCGCTTGGTTGAGTTGCAAAGATTGCCCGCCTAGCGGGGGGGTTGGGTAATAGCCGCCGGTAAATGCGTTTGAAGATCCTCCTGTAGGATTATACCCGTCTTGCCGGGCTTGGTTTTGGTATGACTTATGAAGCTCTGTGTTTCTCTGCGCCCACCCGTCGTATCGGTGGACTTTGTGGCTATTGACGAGCAGGTCTTCTCGACCGTAGAGCTGGATTGCACGAAGGTGTCCCTCATATGGGAGGGTGCCACCTGGTTTTGTAAGGGGCTCAGAGAATAACCGTCGGTATTCGATATTTTTACTCAGATGCTCGCTGTGGGAGCATGGGGAAAAATTGATAGTTGACATAGAGTGGCGCGACTGAGCAAGGTCTGAATAAGATCGTGGTGCAGCGGGGAAAAATGTAATGGGCGGAGAAAGATTCTAACAGAAAGAGATCGGAATGCAACAGAGAAAGATCGTAACATGAGGTCGTGAGGCGGCGGAAAGAGATCGTGACTTCAACGGACGGGAAGAGATCGTGATAGCGGAGGGATCGTATTGAGAAGAGCATATAATGCAATAGAGAAAGATTGTAACCTCAATGGGAAGGATGCTCGTGGGAGAGCGTAGTGAGACTTTTGACGAGATGGTTTTGAGGTTGAAGAGGGGAGTGAGGTTTGAAGAGGATGAGGAGATATTCCTACAGTTGATGGCGCACTTCCTGCACCCTGCAAGAAAACTTTGGACCTTGACCCTAAGGAATGAAAAGATTTAGACAAGTTAGCCTAAGTTTAGGGAAGTATTCACTAAGTTTATGTTAGCATCCTCTTCTAAAGTCTTGCATTTTCTTGATCCCTGAGGCTTACTAGCTGTGAATGAAGGAATATCCTGAGATGGTGAACTAGGAAAGTTCACGGCCATAGCGTTGTCGGGCGCGGAGATAGCCCTCATATGAGATTGTTCCGCCTGGCTTTGTAAGTGGCTCTGAAAAGAGACGTCGGTACTCCAAATCCTTGCGTGGATAGGTTATATCTTGACTTCAAGATCGCGATGGAGAGGCGGTAATATCTTGACTTCGGGATTGCGTAGGAAACTGTGACCTGGGGAGAGCGTGACGGAGAGACGGTAATACCTCGACTTCGAGATTGTAGGAGGCGAGAGCGCAATGGAGAGACGGTAACAGAGTAATATCGTGACATGGAGAGATCGTAACGGCGCAAGCGGAATGGTGTGAGAGCTGATAACAGCATAGCAGCGCGAGAATGAGAATATGATAGCGTAAATAGGCATTGGATGAGCCTCCAGTTGGGTTATAGCCGTCTTGACACGCGCGCCGGTTCTTGGAAGGCCTGATAGAGATCCAGCTCCCCACCTGTCGTATCGACGGACTTCATAACTACTGATACTGCACGAAGGGCCGATCGGAGAGTGTCAGGAGTAAGGCTCGGTGAGCTCTGTGGTGTGTCTCCTCCCTTGCAAGGGATTGCAGAGGTTGAAGGAGTTGAATGAATCGTGGAGAAAGGATTGCGAAGAGTGAAATTGGGTCCGACTTGGCTGGTTGAGAGTGAATTGCTGCATATAAAATGACAGATGAGCTGCCACTGCAAGGCAATACCAAACCCAACCCGCCAACCACACTAAAGAAAGCTCTCCAGATCTTTTCAATTAAACGTAAGAGGTTTATCTCGAGGAAGCTTTATCTTGGAGCAATTATCTAATAGTATTAAAGAGAGTCTAAGAATAAATCTAACCGTGAACTTGCACCACTTTGAATACCAAAACACTCCATCACATGGAATCCAAACTCATTCCAAACATAAAACATTAAACATTTCTCTCGTTGAGATTCGTAAGTCGTTCATAAGAACAGTTAAGTGCGTTGTGCCATCCTGTACTGTCCCAGTTCCAACACCCCTTTCGTCACCATGCCGATTTCAGTTTTGAGCTTAGAAGAGAGAGTTGATAAACTCCTTTGCACGCTTGTAAGATCCGTAAGATGAGTACTTCTTATAGTTGTAGCTTCCTAGAGGACGGTCAGAGTCACAGTCTCGGGAGTAAAGGAGGTTAACGAACCGTAGCTGGTGTATTTCTTAGGAGCAGGAGCAGGCTTCTTGGAAGGCTCAGCCTCAGGCTCACGCTTGTAGGAGCCATAAGAGCCGTATTTCTTGTAGTCGTAGCTTCCTGGAGGACTGTTAGGATCGTCGTCTCACAAGTGAACGTTTGGGTGAGAGGTTAGGGGTGAGAGGTTAGGGGTGAAGGGGCACAACGAACCATAGTTGGTATACTTCTTAGGAGCCGGAGCAGGCTCGGGCTTAGGCTTAGGCTTTGCGCCGTAGCTTCCGTAGCTAGGATAAGACTTCAGGTTCTCGCCAGCTCCCTTATAATCGCCATAAGTGGCATATCCAGGAGCAGCTTCGGCTTCAGGTGCAGCTTCAGGGGCAGCTTCGGGAGCAGCCTCACGCTTTTCAACCTCTTCACGCTTGTAAGAGCCATAAGAGCCGTATTTCTTGTAGTCGTAGCTTCCTGTCAGAGTGTCAGCATGTGAACTGCAGCTTGCTCAAGGAACTTCTCACCATAATCGGTATACTTCTTAGGAGCAGGAGCAGGAGCAGGAGCAGGAGCTGGAGCAGGAGCAGGAGCAGGAGCAGGCTTAGGCTTTGGCTTTGCACCATAGCTTCCGTAGCTAGGATAAGACTTCAGGTTTTCACCTGCGCCCTTATAGTCGCCGTAGGTAGCATATCCGGGTGCTGCTTCAGCTTCAGCTTCAGGGGCAGCAACCGGGGCCGCAATGGCACCGGCAGCGAGAGTGAGGAGTGTAACAGCGGTGAGCTTCATTTTGATGTCTGAAGAAGGATAGAAAGATGGTAGAGTGAAGATGCAGAGAAGAGGGTGGGTGCTGGGTAGTTAAGGCTGAAGAGGTGGGTGAGAAGGGTGGTGAGGAAACACTTCAGCTCAGGATGGGAGCTCCGACTTTATGGATAAGGATGGACGCCTCTTGGATGTACAGAAAAGTATCTCATGATCATCTTGATTACAGCTTAGCTTGGAGAAGCACACTGGAAGCTCATGGCTCCGAAAGTCTACCTCTCCAGATCCAGACTCGCTCCGCCAAGCGAAGCTCGACGATGGCGTCGGATCCTACGGCATTAGACAACTCATCAGCCTGCTCAGAGCCCAGACTAACGCCCGTGAAGTCTAAGCTCGAAAAGCAAAATCTCGTATCATTATCACAGCTAACTCATGCTTGCGAGTGGAGGGGATCACCATCCGGACGAGGCTCTCCATTGGACAATGCCAAGGCTGAGCCCTCATGTCTTCCCTCTCACGGTAACGATCGCGCAGTTTCCAAGGAGCGTTGCATCATTGAGTCCTACCCTAGCTTAGCAATCATGATGCCTCGTTAGCTCGATTGATGTACCAGCGTGGCTGGCTGCAGAGATACCCAAGAAAGCTACTTCTCGTGTAAGCCTCGTGGAGCTCTAGAACGAAGCTTACGGTCAGCTCAAAATCAGCAGGATTTACCTATCTAGGAAAAAAAGCCACGACCTGGGCAACTAGCACGATGATCAAGGCGTGTTAGTGAGCGGAGCTAATGCACGTTGGATAAAGAGTCTAGAGACGGAGATTCCTTCCAAGACATACTGTAAATAGCACAAGAAAGTTTATATTTCGTGTCAGTCTGTCAGACGTGCATGAGATCAATCTTCGGTTGGCCATTTTGGGATCAATGATGTAGTTGTTGGGCGGAAATGTCTCAAATTGATCTAAACCCTTGCTATACGATATGATCTACCCGTCCCAATTGCTTATCATGGGGTTCGATGTCGTCAATTAAAAAAAAAAAAAGGAAGCTTCGGCAATACGGGATAGAAGCGATCCACTTCGTATAGCTAAACCACCAAGACCAGCGTAACGTTGTGCCCAACCCCCTCATTCCCATCACGTCTTAGTAGCTAACAATTACTGCACAAGCTTAACTACCAAGCGCCATCTTTTTTCTTTAAAAAGTGCAGCCAAAATATTACAGCAGCGATTGTGGCTTTCTGCAGGGAGCATTGTTGGTCAGATTCACCTCAGCCTCACGGTTGTGGGAAGTTAAATTGGCCTCTACGACAAGAATTCATTCAATCGGCAAATACATAATCACCCTTACGTAGGGGATCCAAGCCACTCGGTCAAAATAACACATTAGCTTTTTCTCTCTTTCAGGCAGAATAGACTCTGTTTTTCCTGTAACCAATATCAACTCTCAATAAATAAGCCATTAAATATATGGTTTAATCCATGACGCGACCATCCTGATTCTTATAGGTACCTATATAATTAGACTGCTGTGTTCTCTTTAGTGTGACTGCAGCAGAAGACCAAACAACCCCCTGTCCTGCCTGAACACATCTCAGCCTTTCTTCACGAGCACGAGGTGCGCTATGTCGTTGTTGGTATGATCGCTTCTTGTCTGGGTGTCGGTGATTGGTGCCCGCCTCGTTTTCTCGTGTAAGTTGGGTTGGGTTGGCTCTATCGTGTATACAGTATCTCACTTTCTGCGTATGTCACTGCTTAGACTTAGACTAGCTCCAAAGCCTCTTCCTTCCGATGCCCATGTCTAGAACCTTTTGTGAGGGCTGTGATAACCACGGATTGCCTCATCTGGAGCATGAGAGTTTGCTAGACTGCGCCGGCTGAATCGGCAGCGTGCATTGAGTTGGCACTATGGGTGTCAGCCGCTCAATATCGTCATGTTAAGGGTCTCGAGAGTTCCCGTTCTAATTTTATCAGAACCTCGAGAGCTTTGGGCTATTTCCTCTTTCTCATTTCTGACTCTATTCTTGTCTTACTCAGATTCATCTCACCTTTAAACCCAAGTTCTTCATCAATTGACTCTTTCTCTCATTATTCACATCCTTCAATTGTTGTGTTGCAAATATGGCTCCCAAGCAAGAACAAGAATCTGCCCTCTTGAACCCTCTCGTCGATGGTCAAGATACCGACGAAGACTCAGAATCCTACCATTATGTCCCTCCTCGAAGACGGCGATGCTCTGCATGCAGATGCGTCGGATGGATCTTCACTTTGCTCTCAATTATCTTTATCTCAGCCCTTTCAGGTGCTTGGATCTCAATGGCATATCTCAACATTGACCAGACATGTGCTGCACACACATCAGCATGGTGTAAGTCCTCAACTCAATCCCAGCTAGGACCATGAACTGACTTCTCAATTGCAGCACCGGTTCTAAAGGACGTCGAGATAAAATACCACCAACAACCATTTGATGGAAACTTTATGGAGGAGAATGATTTCCGCAAGAATGGCTCTGCTAAAGTCGATGAAGCATGGGAATCACTTGGTGTTGACTGTATGTGTTTGCCTCTTGGACCAGCCTTTCTGGCATATCACTGACTTTACTCAGATCGACCTGGTGTCATCTCCTATGAAGACGGAATCGCCAGTGGCCTCACTGATGCCCATGTCCAAGTCAGTCCTGAGCATGGCGGCGGTTTCATCGTCAACGTTGAGGGCATGCACCACCTTCACTGTCTGGTACGAACTCAATTGTAAGAGTAAATAATACTGTGACTAACATCTTCACAGAATCTTGTCCGCAAATCCCTCTACTTCAATTACGACCACTACAAGGCCCTCGGCGGACATGCCTTCAAGAACGACGGCGAGGTCTTCCGCCTGCACGTCAGTAAGTCACACTATCGCTCTTCATCAATATCGTTCAAGACTGACCTCTACAGCTCACTGCCTTGACACAATTCGCCAAGTCCTCATGTGCAACGTCGATACTGGTGTTCTCGGACAAGTCTGGTACGATAGGAAGAACCCCAGCGCGTTCCCCGACTTCAACACCAAGCACACTTGCAAGAACTACGAAGATATTAAGAAGTGGTCAGAGAAGCTTCAGGTGAGCATCCCCTAACTTGAGTCTGACCAGAATGCTAATGAACCTTGACTCAGGCTCCTCCTGCTGGCACACTGCCCCCAGACTTCCTCGCCAACCCACACCCTGAGCATGTTCTTGAGTTCACACCATAATGACACACAATTCCTCAATAATACAAGGTTTATGACTTCTAAAGACGATAATGCAAGTGCGGTAATGTTTTTGGGTTGCATGTAGATAGGTATATGGCATATACACCAAGCAGGCTCCAACGCCACCAATATTATAATGCCTTCCTTCATACAGCTGCTCCGACATCTCTATACAGAAGCTCTCCAAATTCTCACTGCCTCTTTCAAGGTTTGAACATAGCAGCCTTATTATTTCAGCCTTAAAGATCGAGTGGCTTCCCGGCTGCCCGGTCAACATGTCTCAGTTCGTATAGGGCTGTAGTAAACTTCGCTCATTCTACATCCGGGCGGAACTATCAACATGGGGAATCTCAGCCGCACGAAATAAATGCGCTTATAGAGATGCATATTTTAGGAAACGGCTAATCCAGCCGCCCAGCCGTTTGGCCGGAAACGGTTCATCAACGTGGTGGCAGTCAGCATTCCAGTCCAAGGCCAGCATCGCCACGAAATAGCAGACATTCACATAAATTAACCAAGAATACGAGAGTAAGTTACTTGTTATTGGTGTGGCAGAGCCTGCTAAATGAGTGACCTTGCAGCTTCCTCCAGACCATAAGAGAGTGTATCAGATATGTAACTGTACTAGGTCAAACCATATTCCTTCGTATCATCCCAAGGTTCAATCAAGCCTTGACCTCAGCCTGAAGACGGTGAAAGCCACCAGAAGCAGCGACATCCTTCTGGAGCTGAGCAATGCGCTTCTGATCTCCTGTAGGGTCGCTAGACTCTCCAGAAAGAGTCCACTCGAGGTACGAGTTGGTGTAGTTGGGCTCGAAGCTCTCATCAAGAACACCCAGACGCTTGCCGTACTTGGTGACCTTCTCCCAGTCACGCTTGACATTCTTGAGATCCTTGCTGAAGTAGGCAAAGCTGCGCTCAAAGATCTTGCGGTTGAGCGCGGTGCCCATGACGGGCTTGAAGTCGACGTACTCGGCCCAGGCCTTCTCGGGCTCAGCGAGGACAAAGTCGGTGGCCTTCTTCACAGCGCGGAGGAACGAGCGGACCTTCTCGGGGTTCTCGGCAAGGAACTTCTCGTTGCCGATGTAGAGGATGGTGCAGAAGCAACAGCAGCCAAGCTCGGCGAGTTCGTCGATGCGAAGCATCTGAACGTCGTCCTTGGGACGGCCCTGGGCAGAGAGCCACTCCTCGAGCTCAACCATCTGGACGTTCTCCAGACCAATACCGGCGTCGATCTCGCCCTTGATGATGGCCTTGGAGACGTTCATACCACAGCGCACGGCGGTGTAGTCATCAGGAGTCATGCCGTAGTGCGAGGTGAGCTCGTCAATCTGGATCTTGCCAAATTCACCGACATAGCCGATGCGCTTGCCCTTGAGGGTGCGGAAGTCGGTGGTGATACCAGAGTCCTTGAGGTAGACGACGCCAGTGAATGGCTCGTCGAGAAGACTACCGATGGACTGGACGGGGAAGTTTCGAGCCTTGGCAGCCAGAGTGTGAATCATAGCCTTGAATCCAAGATCGACCTTGCCAGTACCAATGATCTCAGTGACATCCTGGGTTGTCAGCATCTTGATCGTCATCCATCATAGAACGAGCACTTACACTAGGATCGTTGGGCTCAAGAAGAGCAACCTTGATTCCCTCCTCCTTAAAGTATCCCTTGGCCTGAGCTAGGTACAGCGGCGCATGGTAAGGCGTAGCGTGCCTAACAACAGTCAACACAAGTTCATTACTAGAGCAAGTCAGTTGTACCAGTTGGTGAGGAAAGTGATCTTATCAGTCGACATGAT